CCTGATTAGAGGCAATACTTTCCACTTAGACCTACAGTGTAGAGACCTGTTTCATTCATACTCCATCTTTGTGTAGCACACAAACCTTATTTGATGTTACTCGTGTGGAATGAAAGCTGGATATCTATGACAATGTAAACTAGGAGGAGAAATTTGTGCTCTACTTTTTCTAATATTCCCATAGAAGTCTGCCATTTCCTCATGTTTCAGGTTTCTGAATAAGCTGCATTTTTTTCAGTAAAATAGAATTTACTGTGTTTTTAAGAGCTCCATATGTTATTTAATACTAAATTATGCTAATACATCAAAATTATATTTGATTTGGTGTTTGATCATCAGCCATAACTCAGAGAGGAATGACATTTAGGAAGTAAACAGGGAAAAATGTTATGCTAAAAGTATGCTAAAATTACGTTTAATTTCATGGCAGGTATGCTTGCTATAAAGCTACCATTATTCAATTAGTTTGTTTCCCAAATTTTCAGGGAAGTAATATGAAGTCAAAATTTTAAATTCTACATTACTTCAAAATAAAGGATTAGGGATGCTCCAAACCATATAACAATGCAGGAAATCAGCAGTTAAGGTTAAAATCCACATTGACATGGAAATAGAAAGTAAAGTAATGATTCCTCCCTTGAGAACAGTGCAATATCAGGTAGTTTCAATATATGCTATCAATGTTTGTGATATCAAATGAAAATACAGATTTTTCAAGACCATACTTTTTAATTCTTTTTTTTTTTCTCTTCATAATGTTGTTTAAGGGTGAGTTGCCATTTGTGTGCAATTATGAAGCTATAACCAATAATTTTATAATATTGGCTAGAAATATATGGAGCTCTTCCATGTAGAGAGGGAGGGGAGAGCTTTCTCTTATGACATGGTATGAGGGATACAGTAAAAAAAAAAAAAAAAGCACTGAACTTCTATTGCTATAAAAACATGAAGATTGTATTTTCTCCAAAAATTTACCATAACATCATATCAATTCATAAATATTACACTGCTAGTAGGGATGAAAGTAATTAACAAAATCACCATGAATGTCCACACAGAAATTGCTGTGTGGGTAGTTCATAGCTCCGATATTGTAGGAGAAACATATTTTATTCTATAAAATATTTTATTTTAAAGAAAAAAACAGTTCACTTGAGTAGCATATTTCAGATAACTTCAGTGCTATAAAAGTGCCTAGTATACAAAATAAAACTCTGTGAGCAGTACTGAGGAGCATGCAGATTGGTTTGGATCTGTCTTCTCTGAATCTTAAATGTTTGGATAATAAATCAAGATGGAAGCATCCTGGCTGTCTCACAAAAATAACTGCTGTCATTTCAGATATATCAGCAATAAGTGTTTTGGCAACTATAGCCATCATAATTCAGAACCACCCAACAAATCAGAAATTTCATCTTAAATACAAATGAAGTTGTAGGGACCTGCAGTATTGTTCCTTCCCAAGACAAAGGAAGGTTAGACCAGAAGTTTACATTCCTATCCTTCCCTCTGTTTATACTCCAGGATCTCTGGTTATCTATTACTGTTTTATTCAGTGCAGTTGAGACCAGTTGTCTCCCCTGTGATTTTTGAGGTCAGATCTTAAGTTGGATGTGTATTGCAAATAATTCTCTCAGATATTTTTTTCAGATATAAGGAAAAAGATTTCCAAGAAAAACCATAAACTGTTCTATTGCAGATGTTAGTAAATGAAACAGACACAGAGCACTGGTCAGACCTGCTACTGCCTTAGCATTTTTAAGTAGCATACAAACTATAGAGACATTGCAGGAGAGTTTCAATTATGATTTTCAAGTCCTTGGTGCTGCTGCTTTGCACAGTTCTTAAATGTAATGTAGGCTCTCTCTTGGGAAAAGAGGAGCCATAATGCTAGGAAAAAAAGTGATTCAGAGCTGCTAGGCTAAACACCTTTCCTTGAGATGGTAGGCAGAAAGGTAACTTCACAGCAAAACTCCCGTGTCAGCTGAGAAGACTTCTCACTCTCTCCTTGCTTTTTAAAGCCAGAATTATACTGGTAGTTTTAGATGTGCTCTTTAAGCCAGTGAAAGAAATATAGTCTGCATGTGTTTAGTCAGTTTGAAAAAGGTAAGTAAATTATAACAGTGGCTCCATGAGGAGCATTTTATGCTCCTTCCGTTCTTCCCTGCCTTTCCACCCCAATCTAATTGCAAACATGCTTTTGTAAAAGATGTAGCCTTAATGTAATGATGACCAAAAATAACCAACATGTTCTGGTGGAAATAAAACTGGTACTTTGGACAGAAATGTGTTCATAGGAGTCTAAATTACTGGGCTGTAATGGCATGCTGCTACTACCATCTTCAGAAAAAAATGGCAGTAATTGCAAAACCCCTTTCATTGCATCAGAAAAAAATTATTTGCACCTAATGATCAGTTCCCTCCTAAATTCAGAAGCAGCGGCAAGTAGAAGAGTCTTATTGGAAGGGAATAGATGATTTAGGTGAATGAATAGTTATAAAAAATGAGAATACCATCAGCTCATGAAAAGGCATTGAGTTCCTGTGTGCAGCTTCATAGACAACCTTTTTATCAGACATACCACTGCCACCATCAACATCTTTTCCATAAGGAAAGCGGATAGAAGAAGGAAAGCTGTTAAACTACAAACTTTGTTCTTTTTTTTTTCGATAGGCTCAAAAGATATTAATTTCCCAGACAGTTGAAGTCAATGTCATTTCTTTGACAAGGGGAATATACTAACTAGGGATAAGCTTGGATATCAGAATTAATCAACATGATCCAATTCAACT